CTTTGTCTAACTCTTTCTCCATCATGACGACTCGATTTAAGTCTCTAACTGTTTGACTACAGATGCAAGAGTACTATCCAACTCCATCCTTTTGTCCGGGTAGTTTGAATGGGTAATTCAGCTTTTGTGTAACTCAATTGAGGGGGCAAACATAAAGACAAGATTCTTGAGCGCTCAAGCTCCCTTTCCATGGATATCTGCACATCTCTTTAGAGATTTGTTCCTTTCCTACCTTTTTCTGACATCAGCCTCCCCTTAAAAAAAAAAAAAAAGCTCTGATGGGGAGCGGTTAAAAGTAGGCTAGCCTGGTCCCCCGTATTACATTGTCCTGTGCCAATGAAGCATGGTTAGTATCAGCCCCCAGACAGCTTCGGGGAGTGCAGAGAAAAGGGTGTCTAAATTTTCTTAGCTCGTCATCAGCATTTCCACTTTGGATTGTGTCTTTTTTTAAAAAAAAGGCCTCAGTAGGGGTGAAGAGGATAGGGGAGAATGGTAGAAATCGCAGGGAAATGATTGTATTTATTAGCTGTCTTTCTGTGGCCGTCCCCATGGCAACAATTTGTGATGGCAAAGAATGTGAGAACGGGGAGGCTAATGCCTGATTGGGATGCTTTGTATTTGGCAAAGTGGCTTCTGATTGGCCTGAGAAAGCCCCCGAACTAGACGGAGTCGATATTCATTCAGCTTACTCAAGTGCTTGCTAAACTGCTTCTAAACACTCGCGGGCTCCGGCTGCCTCTGTAAAGGTTGGTAGTGTATAACCTGCATAACAAGATTAGCCGGGGAAGGGGGCTCGTCTCAGCAGTGCTACAGTAGCAGCCGGCGCGGGTGAGACAACCTCCTGCGCGCCTGGGTGAGTGTGCGTGCTTAGCTGTGGGGACACGGGAACTGCTTCCGAGGCTCCTGCGTGCGATTTAAACATTATCTAACAAGCTTAACCATTGGGCTCTCCGGCACAAGCAAGCCAATCCCCGTGCCTGTGCGTGCCCGGGCAGCAATGCTGGGGATGGAGGGCTGCAAGCGCGGGGCAACGCTTGCAAAGTTTACCCGCACGGGAGCAAGTTGACAACTTGTCTGTTTAGTTGAGAAGTTTGACATGTTTCTTTCCCTCCCCTGCCCCAATTTGCTTGATGCTTTTTGAATCTAGGTTTCGTGCTCTAAATCTGTCCATCGTGTTTCACAGGTTTGCCCAAGTTTGAGGAGAAGGATTATAAACTTTTAATGGAAATCTCCGCAAGCTGCATTCTGTGAAATGGCATCAGACAGCGAGGTAAAAACCCTCCTGAATTTTGTCAATCTGGCCTCCAGTGACATCAAAGCAGCTCTGGATAAATCTGCTCCCTGCCGCCGGTCAGTTGACCACAGAAAATATTTACAGAAACAGCTCAAAAGGTTTTCTCAGAAATACTCCAGGATCCCGCGGTGCCACCCCAGCAAATCTGCGGAGTGCAGCGTGAAGCGGGGCGTGGAGGACAGGAGTCGCGGCTCCCAGCCCGAGGCAGCAGACTCCAGCCACCACTGCAGAGCTGCCCCTGAGAAGGTGCTGAGGACGGCTGAGGTGGAGGAGACCTTCTCTGGCGAGCAGGTTTTGCAGGATCAAAATCCCGAGGCCGCCAGACCGGATCAGGTGCCGATGAGGAAGAGACAGCTGCCTGCCTCCTTCTGGGAAGAGCCCCGGCCGGCGCAGAGCCTGCTGGCCAAGAGCTTTCCTGTGAGCCTGAACGGGCTCCCAAACTCTGGAGACCCTCTTCCTTATGAGGGAAAGAAAAGCAGAAGGAGCCCAGAGGTTGCCAGCCCAGAAAGCCCCCCTGAGCCTGTGCAGCGTGGCGGTGAGAAGGACCCTGCCAAGGCACCAGGGCCACCTGTGTCCAGCCGGGTGGCCTCCTGGACATGCTGCCCCTTCCCCTGCCCCGGGCAGCCGCTGTACCAAAGCCCGGGAGCGCTGCCGCCGTCGTCCTTCCCAGGCCTGGGGCTGTGGCGGAAAAGCACGGCGCTGCCAGGGGAGATGCAGCATTTCTGCAAGGAGGCGGACAGCACGGGGCAGAAACTCTACAGGCCCGTGGTTTTGAAACCCATCCCCACCAAGCCAGCAGTGCCCCCTCCTATTTTCAATGTTTTTGGCTATATTTAGCTGGGGGGTAGGAGGTGGGGGGGGTGTTACTTTGAATACAATAGCTCCTTGAAATGAGTTGAAATGTAACGTCACGTGCTGGTCATGAGCGAATCGCGGTGCGGAGCCATGTGTGGGGAAGGAGGGTGGCTTCTGTCTGGAGACGGGCAGCGATTGCATGGGGTTCCTCTTGCACAGTCTGGGGTGAATTAAACAACGTTGTGAATCTGTCTGGGCTTGATTCTCCTCTCACTACATGGGTGTAAATCAGGAATAAGCCTTATGAAGCCAGTGGCATGAAGTGCAAGGCAAATCAGGCCTCTTTTATTGAAGTGCATTGTTTAAGCCATGGCGAGTTGTGCTAAGAGCCATTCATAATCTGCACTTGTAACACCTAGGAGACCTCCTCCATGTGGGAACATCTTTCTGGGGTTGCCCTGCAGCCGCAGCAATGAAATGAAATGAATTACACACATTCAAACCATTTTTGTACTTTAAAATAATTCCAGAGAAGTCAAGATACTCAGGTCACTTCCTTTGGCGTGCAAGGACTGGAAGAACAGTATTTAATGTAGAAATCACATTTGTAAATTGATTTAAGCTCTTCTTATATGTAAATATTGAGACAATTTAAAAAAAATGAAGGAAGAAAGGAAGTAATTTTATCTTGGTCATTCTGCAAATGAAGTCCGTTTATTTTTGTCCCACTGAGTATATGCAGACTGTATTTGTAAATGGTGATTAGACATGAGGGCTGAAATCTCTGCCCATTCAGAGTGATGTAGATCAAAAGCTACTCTTCTGAGGCTAGGAAATTAGGGAGCGTGAGACTGCTGCAAACAAAAGCAGAACTTCAGAGTGTCAACAGCACAAATGAGAAATCATTTAATTTGCTGGACACAAAAACATAAAATATGATAGAAGAAAAAAGCATATAGCATAGCCTGACTCGACTTCTGACTAGCAGAGATCTTTTATTTTGCCTGGTTTTAAGATATGATCACAAGATCTGACTACAAATGATTTGCCCAGTATTTTCTCAATCACTTGAATTAAGTTACTTTAGAAAAGCTAATAGGGGATATTCTTAAGTTAAACATCTCTAAAGCCCATGGAGAACGCAGTGCTAAGACACAGAATATGAGATCTGAAAGGTTTAATATTGCAGACTTACATATCCATTCATTTATATTGTAAGTATTGTAAATCACTAAGGTCAAGAGAAGTATGCTACAGGGAGAAAAAAAAGCACCAGAGAATGGACTCCAACCTTCCAGGGCCTGAATCGGCTCCCAGTGAAGTGAATGGGAACTTCTCCCAGGATTCAGCAGAAGGCAGCCTCGACCTGCATATTCCCCAGCTAACATAGCTCCCCAGCACTCTTACTCAGTATCTCGCTGAGAGGGGAAACAGGCTCGGCTTCTTTTGAGGACAAGGCAACCATAAGAAAATTATCATTTGAAGCCTTGTAAAGTATAGCTCTGGATCTTCTGATGGGGCTTGGCATTATATAACCAAATTGCAACTTTAGTTAGGATATACACTACCCTCTGGCCAAAAGTATTCTTTTCCTAAACCTCTCACTGAATCACATCAGTATTTACCTATAGGAAAGCACAGGCTGTAATGTGTTAGTCTAGCAGGCCAGAAGTAACAGCAGAGATGGTTTTCACTGCCTTGTCTCTGGTACAAGTACTTACTTTGTGTATCAAGCCTGTGTAGACCACTCCTGTAGGAGCGAGATAGCAGGAACTGGCTTCGGTAGCACATACCTGCAACTACATGCAATGTGCAGGGTGATGAAGAGCTGGTCTGAGGGTTAGAGGCACCCAGTTAGCACTTGACCTGGAGGAGCAGATACAATTTTTATATTTTTGGGGAGTAAAAAAAAAAAAAAGTGAGGAGATTCCATCCCTCCCTTACTCTAATAGAAATCAAAGGTAGCACTACCTGTTAAATCAGTGGGAGGATTATGGCTCTGAATTTGCAGACCTATAGGCAAGAGATTTCTTTACATGAAAATAGGAACTTTTTCTCACATATGTAGTCCTATGTCACTGTTGTAATACCGATGCTGAACTCTGTCTCAGCGGTGTCAGTGCATAGTAGCATCCTTGGCATCACTCTGGATTTCCAGCTGGGTGAGCAAAGCAGGTCACGGAACAACCCACAGGTATTGCAGTGATTGCTGTGGGCAAGAACTCCTGGCTGAGTTCAGGAGAGAAATTTGGAAGTGCTGCATATTACATGAGAATATGAATTTCCCTTAAAATTGAAATAGTTGCAAAAGTGGATAGCTTCTGCAGAAATTTTATTTCTGAAGGAATCTCAAAAGAGAAGAAAGCTAAAATCAAGCTTCAATCTTTTTTATTTTTTAAACTATTCCATATTTTGAAAGTGTGTGGCTGTACGCTTTGCATGTAGTAGAACAGTATGTTTTTAAGTTAAGATAAAGGGTTGAACCAGACTGCTCCAAATGACCTCCAACACACACATATTTATATACTTACCCTCAGTTTCAGACAGATGTTACATTCTAAAATTCTTAAAATCTTCAGGAAATGAGACTTCCCTGGCCTGCCCAGGGCAGGCTGTAGGCCTTTGCTGGACCGCTGGTGCACCCTCAGAACTAGAGCAGCAGTGAAGTAAAACGCAAATGAGCAGAAAACAACTGTTAAGTGTATTTGAAATCACTGAATGGGGATGTGCGAGACTTTCCAAAAGGTTTGCAAAGAATAGCAACTCTGTCTCCTTGCTCGCAGTGCTTGCTGTTCTCTCACCCCTGAGATTACCATCAAAATTATTAATTGTTCAAGCTTGGACCTATTCAGACTTTTTGTGGCGATTTTTGCGCTTCTTTGTTCAGTGTGGCTATTTAGTACAGCTGGTAGTCCTTCAGAATCTACTTGTTTATTCATATTTTGTTTGAAAGATAGAACTATAACATTCAAGAGTTGCTATTTACTACAACAAAACAAATTTAAACTGTTAACACCACAATAGCGTCTATAAATAATGGGAAGGGAGAGGTAAATGAAAAGGCTTTCATACAAAATAAAATAAAAAATCAAAAAAGTGCACAAGAACATAGAGTGAATTGCACATGTTGCAGTAAAAAAAAAAGTATAGTAACCTGGTCATGAAATACTCCTAGAACATTTAAGAAAAAGTCATCATCTCTGAAGATGTCTATCATGCTCAGTGAAAATAAACCACTTTATCTTGCACTGGAAGTACCGATCTGGTTACAAAGTCTTGTTTGTTTGGGTTATTTGGTATTTGCCATTTCACAGTAACTTCTAAATAGATGCATTAAATTCACATAGAATTTGTGCAGACTCAGTATCACACATGAAATACTTGTGTCAGCAGTCAATGTGTAAGAGGTAGCCAGCTCTATTTCAGTGCAAATAAGTGTAAACCGACTGTGTAAAGGTTTTTCAGTAAGGATTAAGCAGAAGGGATATAACGATATTGTAATTACTAGATTCACCCTCTTACACACTCGTTTCTCCTCAGTTTCTATGCACGGTGTGCCTTTATTCTTCTTGCAGTTGCCACACTTCTACATCAGATTAGCACTCTCGAGCTCAGTGATAATCCTGGTCAGCACAAATGTTCAAGAGGAACCACAGCATGGGGTTCCCAACAGAGATGAATATTGCTTGGCTGAAAGAAGAAATAGACTTTGCGTACTGGCCCCACCCAAACCCAGTTTCAACTTTCTAAGGGAAAAAAAAATCACAAGTTGTGAGACTTCTACATGTACAATGATTTTGATTCAGGGGAAATTCCCATCTTGGGATTGTTTACGGAAGCCCATCCCTGGGGTGTATACATGTAGTTGGGTATACATGTGGTTTCAAATCCTTCTGTCAGCCAGCAGTCTCCAAGGCTGTCACTGCACGCCAAATGAACGCTTAGGGACATCGTCTCTGCCAGGCAATGTTCAGTGTGCAACACCCTCTATGACCCTGCTCTGTTGCAATCATTTAATTTCAGGGAATTTTCTCCTGGTGTATATTAGTCTGAGGAAGAACCAAATCTTCACTGCTCAGCCCACTAAGGTGCGGGATGCATGAACTCCACGGGTGACTTTGCATCTCTGAAGCTATTTTTATCAATACAGGGCCCCGCTGGCAATACTGGCCTAAAGAATTCCAGTCTCCATTCGCTTTTCCTCCACCCAACATTTTGTCATCCTTGAGCAGTTCCCTAGCGTGGTTTATAAGGCATCTGCATGATCACAGCTTAGGGAGGCTGCACTGTGTGATGCCATGAAGTGTCTGGGGTGGCCTGAGATGTTTCATCTTTTCCAAGCAGCATGGTACATAAGGAATAAAGACATATTTTTTCCTTTCTTTTGCTTGAAATATGAGCATATTTTCTAACATGTTGGTCTGCAGGGACAGACCCCCAAAACCCAGAAGAGAGTTTTAGTGGCCCACTCAGGCAGCTGTTCTCAGTACTGCAAACACTGGCAGCCAGCTCCTAACTGGTGTGACTGGGAGGCTCCATCTTCTGAGCCTGACTGAGTGCCCATGTGCCGCAGGACTGTGCCCACCATGGGTCTGGACAGGGAGATAGCACAGCTCCCCTCGGAGCACTTCCCTCCCACCCTGCAAGAGTGCTGGGGTTCATACATTGTGGAAGGAGGCAGATACTGAAGTGGTAATAATGAAAGTCACTGGATGAAATTTCAGCACTGGAGAAATCTCAGCTGACTTTCCAAAGCTTTGCAAGAAGATCACAGTACAGTCTGAACTGAAACTAGGCTGGTTTTTGAACCGCTTCAGTATTTAGGAAGGAGAGAGTGCTGGATAGAGCACAGTTAGCTGTAACCATTTCTGCTTCTGCTCATATCCTATTCCACAAGTGCTAAACGCATTTCATGCCAATCCATTATGCAATCTAAAATTCTGTGCCCAGACAAGTCTGTATGTGTGCAACACACTTGTAGTCCTGTGGTAAGGTGTAAAACTCCACACAAAGAAAACTCGGTGCAACACATTTTCCCTGCTAATATTTCTGCCTGATTGCATGGATGGTACGCTGGCCAACAAACAAAACATATCAGTCAAATCTCTGATGGGAATCCAACCAAATCATACTGCACAGCTCTTTTGTTATCTGAGATAAGAACCAGTGAGCTTCTAGCATGAGATCTGCAAATATATGGTGCCAAATTTAGGTTCTTCCATCATTACTTAGATGCCTGACTGGGACGGAGGCACACGTCAGATCACAGTGGTTCAGCAAGTCACACCTGTCACCAGAGCTGTAGTCACTGCCAATAAGTGTTTGTGAGCTCCTCAGCCTCCCCAGCTGTGAGGAAATGTGACTTGTTAAAAACCTCAATAAAAGAATTTCACGGATGATTATGGCAGTACAGCTGATAGATGGTAACTTGTTAAGCTGCCATAAATCAGTTGTGGATCTGAGCTGTAAATAGGTGACCGAATTTTCAAAGAAGCTGAGATAATGACTTTCATCAGTGTCAAAGGGAGCCAACAGATACTCCAAACTTCCAAACTCAGGAAACTCAGGGCTACATTTTATAACTTTTATTCTACCTCAGTAATATCTGACACCAGATGTGGTCCCATTGGCTTCAGTGGAACTACACCTGGTGTAAACAACTTCACGTCATTTAGGCACCTGAATAAAGATTTGGAAGCCTAATTCTGGGTATTCATTTTCATAATCTCAAAGTTTGAGTTTCACCATTTTGAAATAATCTCTCTTCTTCCAGTAATAGCATTGTGATAGCCACAGTGATCCAAGGAGGTAGGACAGGCTGGATTTCATAGGACGAGACTAAGATCTCGCAGAGCAACAGATAAAGTTGGTTTAACAGTGTTGCACATCCTTACGTACCTTGCCTCTCTCTATTGCATCACTGTCAGTTCATGATCCTCTAGGGTTTTGTTCTCTTCTGACACCAGCTTCAAGACAGAGTAAAGTTACCGTTTTCAGTGCAGCTACTTCTAATTTAGACCCCTAAAATGAGCTCAGAGTTGCTTTCAAATTCCTACTCCAGAAAATTCTCTCAAACAGAATTTCACCTATTTCTTCTTGCAAATGAAATGCAATAGGAGCTCTATATTCTATGCATAAATACAGTTCTTACATCCTTCTTAAATAAACCTTCCCTTGACTTTTAAAGGAATCAGCACTTCTGGATGTGTCCTAATATTTACATAGCTCTGTGTTGAGGGAAAAAGAATCTACTAAAATGTTCTGAGCTTTGAATGTTCAGAAATCAACTTCTCTATTCAAAAAGAAAGATCAAAAAAAAAAAGTAAAGTAAAAGTGTTAGCAGGGTGGTGTCAAAATATTAGAGAATTAGTAACCAGCACACTGAGCAGAAATTCAAAAAATAGAATAGAAACTAAAACAAAAAATCTCAGTCAGTGAACAAAATGTGATTGCTTTTCCAAATACGGTGATTCTTGATGATTTCTGAATTCTGATCACAAGCAGGACTCAGTTCCACCAGACCCCAGAATACCTTTCAGTTCCTCACTGATACTTGCGTCAGCACTACTCATTTTTCAGTGCTGGTTTTCATTTCCCTTTCTTTGTAGACCAAGCTCTGAGGTGAATTGTGCATGTTTTCTCTCGGGAAAAACTAATGATAGGTCTGTTTAGCACTCCGTGTCTTTCAGTTTGTTCTCATTCTTGCTGCAGAAATGTATTTCTTTTAGTTGAATAATTGGAGGGCACTTGACCAAGGCCAGCAGCGGTTCCTCCCCACCGTGCAGTGTGCGTGCCATCACCATACCAGTATCTGCTGCAATGACTCTGGGTGCCATGCCAGGAAGCCGCTGTGTATCTGGTTTGCCCAAGGTCACTGCGTGTAATCATGCTGTAAGTATCGAATCAGTCTATCCGGGAGAGGCAAGGTGTCAATAAGTTTAATGCGATTTCTTCCAACCAAGCTTCGAACCTTGATGCGGCAAAGATGTGCAAGAGGTCTTGGGGGCTCTGAAAGAGACATAGGTCAGAGATATGAGCAGAACAATTTAAACATGAGAGCAACAGCTCTATTCGGCCAGGTCAGTGGCAAGCGCACCAAGGCTGGGGGAACATTACTGGCAGCTGAAGCACTGCCTCCAGCCAGAGCGCTTACGCAGCTTGATTTGAAAGGAGTTCTGCCATGGCACATCCATACAGGCCACAAAGGGTAGGAAGAGGAACACGCAAGGACCTTTGCAGATGGTTTTGGGGAAGCAAATGGAGATATAGAATTTTTCTGCTGCCTGTTGCATGGTCAGGATTTCCACCCACCTTCTTCCCTTCCCCTCTGCTATGCACCACGTCAGCCCCTCTCTTCAACATGGGACATACCCGGAGCAGTGCTGGGGCAGAGGGTCCAAACCCTAATGGCTATGCCAGAGTCCCTGGGTGAGGGTAGGCACTGCTCCTAGTCTGTCCCCTGCCACTGCCTGGCTGACTTCTGTGTCACAAGGGCAAGGATGTCTCTGCACGGCCAAGTACTGTGCTGCCACCCTGGGCTGGGGCTGGAGACTCAGCCTTGTGGGGCAGCTAGCGGGAGCTGCGGGGCCACAGGAGGAGAAAAAGAGGAAATGTTGCCCAGAGCTTTGTGGCAATACCTGTGCCAGGGTGGGAGCCATATCCCACTCTGCTTGGCCAGAATAACAGCACGCACAATGTGAGGTCCAAAAGCTGGGCTGGGAAGCAGGGGAGGGACCCCCAGGTGCTGGGAGGGCCGGAAAGAATTGCCGCAGGAGAAAAGAAAGAGGGAGATTTGTAAGTATGTGGGCTGAGGGTAAAGGTGTGTAGAGGAAGCCTTGTTCCAGAGAGCCAGTGGCAAATCACCACATAAAGTCCTGCTTTGCCGAGTGCCAGGAGCGATGGTCTGCCAGCGTGGCTAGCGTGGGAGCTGCCCCCAGGGGTAACACAGCTGAGCAGGAAGATGGGGAGGAAAGTGTCAAGCAGAGGAAAATGGGAAGGGAAGGAGGAATGAAAAACATGTCTTTTCAGGAACAGAGAGACGATGCCTCTGGCATCCATGGCAGCCTTCCTAGGGAAGGAAGCGAGGCTAGAGGCTGGAATATTGCATCCCATCTCAGACTCAGCAACGGGTTTTCCTGTGAAGATTTAAGCAAGCTGCTTTGCTGTACTCAGCCTCCCCACTGAAAATAAATTTAATATTTCTGCAATTTAGCTGAGTGCTGGGGAACTGGCTCTGACAATGTCTATGAAAGACTTTGGATCCCTATAGAAAATGCTGTTTTAGAAGTGCAGAGTATTAGTGGTGGTTTTAAGGCCGCTAGTGCCTGCAGAGCCAGTGTGGAGATGTTCATGTTACTCATCCGCCCTAATCTGACTGCACCCCAGGTTTACCCAAATGAGCCTTCCTACACTGGCAAGGCTTATTCCCAGTGGGTCAAATCCACAGCTGATGTGAATTTAACATCACGGAGCCCATGACACCCCAGGAATTTCTGCTACCTCATACCTGGCCCAAATGTAATTCAGTCTCACTGGGGAAATCCAATAGAGTTTAACAGGGATGAATCCAATATGGTTCTGTAGAAAACAGGCTAAAAAGCTATAGGACTTTTCAATAGAAAGAATGGAAACTGGAAACGGAAAGAGAAGAAGATGACTGAGGTTTAGAATCCAACAGTGGGACGCTCTGCAGGATTCTTCCCCAGGTGACCATACCTGCTTTTTCTTTAATCACAGCCCAGTCCTCATAGCTGTCTATGTGCTCCTTGAGCCGGGAACAGAGCTGCACATTACCCACATAATCCAGGAGAACATCAATAATCGGCCCGGCCCAACGACTCATCTCTGGAGCAGACACCATGTCACAAAACTTCAACAAAAAACAGATTCACCACAGTCAGTGAGAGATGAATGCACCCCATGGAAACTATGACAGCGACAGCCCCAGCTACTTTGATTGTCCCATCTTTCTACCAGCCATGAGGACAATTCCAAGTTTTCTCTCAGAAAACTTCTACTAAAGCTTCTTTTTTGAGACTGAGGGCAGAATTCCCCTTTACCACCACAGAGGAAAGAGACAAAACCCTGGTGGAGTCCTAGCTTTTGAGCACAGAAAGGATGCTGAATTGTTTACAGAGGTCTGACAGTCCTTCCCTCATGGGAACGGGAGGGCAGAGCCGTGCTCCTGGCTTCGTCCGGAGCCGGTGCAGGAACTGCTGTAGGGCCCACACAGCTGAGGGTGCTGTGACTGAGTGCTGGGTCCCTTTTCTTCTCTAGAGGGCCTTCATGGGGTAACTGTGCACAAAGGAGGCTCCGGAGAAACAGGAGATTTAACAGAGCACAGTACCTCCTGGCTCTGGTGAACCCACTGGTATCTGCAGCTTTTGGGCATCAAACACCTTGCTAGAAATGAGCCTGGGAGATGAATCCCAGGCAGTTTCACTCACACATAGGGAAACTATCCTGGGCCTACCATGGAGCAAAGACATCTCCCTTATGAGATGATGAGACAAAACTTCTCCCGGATGAGACAAAACTTCTGTTCCCACCAGTGAGAGCTGCAGACCCTTTGCACAGAGGGCTGCTTATGTCAATACTGAAACATAGACTTAAGAAAATGACTTTAAGCCATCTCATTTAAAACAACAGCGGCTTATCTTTTCACTTCAGTCTAAATATGCATATCATACTAGCTATCTTCATCTATCTCTATCAAAGAAGTGCTGCATATGATGAAGATATTTGTGACTTATCTGCCTGGGAGCAGTTAGGAAAGTAAAGATGAATTAAACCATACTGTGTGCACAAGAACTCAGGCGCATGGCCGAACTCAATTGAATTACAGTAATTTAAGTACCATCCATCAGCTTAGTCACTGACAGTATCAGCAGGCACACTCTGAGACTACCCCAGATGGGAAAGAAACTACACCAGCTTAAACCTCTTTCAGTTTAAACCACTGTAACTAGATCACACTTGACTGTGTTTGCATGAGCCCTAACTCAAAACGCTTTAAGCCCTTGTGTGGATACTCTCATTCAGAAATAAAATGATATTAGCTCACCTAGGGAAGAATAAAGCTGCCAAATATTATGATCTCATTTGATTTAAAGTGAGAGCATCCACAGAGGTGTTTACTGCTCTTCTAACTGTGTTTCTCCAAGCATCCCCATGTAGTGTTTCCCAGGAAAACTAAATACTGGGAGGCTCCCCGTGGACAACCTATAGTTTGCTACCTGGACTGATTATGGAAAGTTCAGTTTGGGATATCTAGGCCTGATTCTTCAGTGCACCTGCTGTTGCTATGCAGCTACCCATAGGAAGTGCAAAGCAGTGGATCTGCACTACCACCTCCAAGCAGAAAAGCCACTTTGTCTGAGTTTAAATGAGGACACAGGTGTAGGGCACTGGATCTTACTGTTCTTCTGTTCTTGTCTCTGCCAGAGACTTTGCCTGTCCTTTTCTCTCTCCCCTACACACAAGCTCAGTCTACAAAGCCATTTTCCAGAATAAAAACGTTCCAGAACTTGTTGCAGGAAATAAAGCAAAGGAAAACAAAGCGAAATGATGCAAAGCTGCAACTACACATAAGGTCATTCTCAGAGACAAAGTGACTCTAGTCCCAGGACGTATTTTGCCTGCAGTCTCGGTAGGCCCCTGAATGCCCTTTCACAGCAGTAGGATACTTCATTCTCCATGTTCATTATTTAAAACTGCAATTCAGGAAATGTACAGTGAAACAGTGACTGCTTCTCTGGATTCACTTTCCCCAGGAAACACTAATTTAGTAGCAATAGTAATGATTTATAGCTGTGCACGTTTCAAATTCACTTCCAGTAGCTCATAGTCTTTACTATTTAAAGAGTAATCATTTAGACTTACTACCTTTATATAATCTGATATGAGAAAACAGGAAATACACATCTTTTGTGGGAAGAAGGTTACAGTTTCTCATGTATTCTTTCAGAATATAAACCTTCACAACCATATCACGAAGCTACACCACACAAGTCTTACTTTCATTAGCCACGCTGGTGTTTGGGAGCAAATTTAAAATAATATTTCTTAGATGGAAGGAATTGCTTTTTCTGTTCTGTATGTATTTGACCCTCACTGATCTCTCTTCTGCTCTAGGTGCAGATTTAATTGTACACAGCTTTTGCTATCTCTGTCTTATGTTGCCTGACCCTTGATGTGAGATCTGCGAGGAGTTCAGCATTTTGTCATGCACTAAGAAATAGGGTTAGCTGAGATCCAGAGGGAAATATCGAATATCTGCAACAAGTGAAAAACAGAACTGTTTTGTGTGTCTGGGATATCACAGAGGGCTACAGACAAACCTCTCTCTTTGTTTTGGGATTCCAGCCCTCTGCTCACTCTATGTTGTATCATATCATGGCTCAAGAATTGGGGATACTACATTTTATTCCTTTTCTCTGACAAAAACTGTGGTATCTTGGAGAAATTTTGCTTCAACAAATCCTCTCAAGGAGAATACAGCTCTGTTCAGGATGAGAGATTTTTTTTTACTTATTTGCTAGGTAAGTACTGGATAGCAAAGTCTTTTGGAAAAAAGGAACTACGAAAAAGCTCGTGATTTCCCAGGATCTTTTAATATTTTCCTTTACTCTTTTCATCACCAAGGAGTATTTATTGGTGACCATCTCTTTAGGCTGAATGACACTTTCTTCTGAATCCCTCAAAGCTACACTTAAACTAGATGGAAGGTGATTTAAACCTTCCCTGGTGCCTTGCATAAGAGAAAGAGGACTGCCATTCTGAGCTATCTCTGTTGCCTGTTGCACGATAGCAAATTTTGATGAAAGGGCTGGATTTTGTTTGAGATATTTTGGGAAGAGTCATCAGAGACTAGAATAAACGTGTGATCTGAGATTCTGTAAAGTAGTTTAGGGGATTAAGATTCCAATTTCAAGTCAATGAAAGCTGCAGTTAAGCTTTGGAAAGGACTGCACAGATACATATGTAAGACGTGGACACCTAAAACTCATAAGTGGCTTTAAAAATATGAAATCATGCATCTAAATCTCCTAACATCCTTTGAAAACTTTGAATGCTATGCACAAATTCATATAGCTGCAATGTAATGATTTGTACCCTCTCCGGGGCTGTTTATTTAGTAAACTTGGAAACTGCAACTATTTACATTCACTACGTTGCCCTCATTACGTGAAGAACTAAACAATTTTACTTTAACCAGGAGCTTAAATTCTGTAGAAGACAACGTAAATCTTGCAGGGCAAATAACACAAGCAGGTTCCTACGGCCCATAGTCTACTGCCCATATGATACTGCCTGTCAAAGAAACATGCTTAATTCTTGGCAGCTCAAATCCAGAGGAAAATAGTATTGCAGATCTGCCAGCAAAGGCTGTTGAGATGGCTAGAATTCACCTAAAATTCAGCCTATGGCTGCAGGGACTGTTGCCCACCCTCCCGCTGGTTTTGAACACGGCCTCACAAACTCTTACTAAGCCCTTTTTTTCTGCATATATAGTAGGAATAAGAGCATCTTTTGTCACAGGAATGTTAGGAGAAGAAATACATTCAGATCGCAAGATGCATTGGTAAGAGAAGTCCTTAGAAGTACTGTAGGTAAATTAGGCATTGCTTACCTGTATTACGGTTGGCTGTTTGGACTGCTGAGGATCACTAAGTCTGTCTCTTCTGTAATTTAACGCAGGATGTGGGCCGTTTCCATACTGACACTCAAAACAGGAAATTGCATCACAGCCCAGATCCAGGAGATATTTCAGCACAGAAAGGTACTTCATTGAAAACATGATGGTAGCTGGAAAGGTGGTGGGATGGCTTGAAATATAGGCATTAATGTTTGCTCCATGGTCAAGAAGCAGTTTCATGGTCTTTAGGCAGCCATGGCGAATGGAGATAAGTAATGGGTTGATGAGGTCAACGTTGGGGTTGGCTCCAGCCTCCAGCAAGAGCTCTGTGGCATAGATGTTATTGTTAAAGACAGCAAAATAAAGGGGTGTGGTGCGTCTGTCCTCATAAAGGCAGGAACGTTCCTGGGAGAGGGTAGTATTCACATCGTAGCCAGCGTCGATCAGCTCTTCCAAGGTGTCGTCATTGTTGCGTTCAGCCGCTAAGTGCAGGGGACTGATGCCGCTGCGCTTGACACGAGTGCGGCTGGTTACAGGGATCAGCATGGATACAATCCTGCCAGGTGGAGAGTCAGTGAGGAGCTGTGAGCTTTAGGGAATCGACTGCAAATAGTAGCTGTACGGTTGTAACCATAAGAAAGAGCCTATTAACTCAGGCACAGAAACAACACTCTCTGAGGTAAATCAGTGTGTGAACTTGGAACCTGTCGACAACTTTATGCATGCTCTTGCCTTGCAGAAAATGTGAGTTATGTAACCTCTCCTGCATGGAGGAACAAGTAGTTTGAAATTATCTCCCAGTTGCTGTAAGGTAAAGGCAGGGACAAGGGCAGTTAGATGGAAAAGGTAACATGATGATACCTCATCTACCCTGTGGTAACTCACTTATATGCCAAAACCCAAATGGACAGTTAAAAAATGACAGACACTCAGCCAGGCTCTCTTAAATGATCTGCATCTTCACCTTCGCACTGTGAATAGGAGTGGAGGAACAGGCTCACCGTTTCAGACCTGATGTGCATACGGATCTGCTGGCAGAGAGAAGATATCTCCCTACCTCTGTCAGGCTTGCACTACTGCTCAGTGGGGACAGGCGCATACACAAGATGTTGGTAGGCCTTATATGTCGCAGCCGTAGCAAGATGCCTGAGACTATAAAAGGCATAAAACCAAACCTTCCTCTGTGCGACTTAGCTGGGATGAGCTATATATTTGGCTTCTAGGCCTCCACGCCAGATTTTACAATGCAGTTTTTTTTACCTTCACTGCCTGTCTTTTGGCTGTGGCAAATCCACAGGGCTATCAATATCCATCCCAGATTGTGGGGAGCCAAAAAGACAATTAAGAAAAGGGAGAAAAAGAAATAAAACTCTTTTCCAGGCCAGTTGCCATGCTTTAGCCCAGGGAGAAAAAATATGTACAGCCAAGTTCTAAACGCCAGTAACCAGGGAATGCTATTGGATAGTGTTACGTGGCCTTAAATGCAGTAACGTAAATTGAGCTGCTCTCGTTATATAACATGGAGTTCAAATACGTGATGTACAGTGACCCTGCAGTCAAAAATCCATGATCATTTAGATGCCTCCATAGATGTCACTGGAGCTGGATAACCAAACCCATGGGTTTAATCCTCATTTCCTGCTCATAAGGTTGCGTGTCGATTCTATAAAACAGACAAGTCACTTTAAGCTAGATCCACAGAGACCAGACAACATTCAAATTGAGTGTCCCTACTGTTCCAGGAGATGCCCATGTTCCCTATGGGATGTCTATGGAGAGAGAGACCCCTAAAAAAGGGACTTGTGGGAATCAGCAAGATGAGGACACCTCCTCCTCCTCCTCCTTCCACACAGACTCCTCTATATAGCAGAGAACAGCTCTTCTAATACATGAACGTGAAGAGCTCAGTTTCCTGAACACGTACTGTGTCTCTTTCAAAATGTCTTGAGCTTGACTGCAACAGCCAGTCTCAGTACTGGGCACTCAAACATTAACATAATAAACTAAGCCAAATATAAGCACTACTGTCAGTGTAAGCTTCACCTGTGATACACTGAATGGTCCTGAAAAAGACTGAGCTGAAACGAGAGTTGAAGATGTGCAACATGTTACAGGATTACGTTCTCATTTATATGATGGACTGTTGCTGTCTCCAAGTTACTTCTACCACCTCTTTCTTAAACAAAAGAGGTTTTGTCCTTATGTAAGTATCTCGGGAAATGAAGCATGAGGTTTTTCTCCAAGCAGCCTTACTGATCTTCCAGTGCTGTGATGCTCACCAGGGAGCAGGAGGCTTGGATGCTGGTGAGCTGGCTACCTCCTACCACTAGCAAACGGTCTGTAAGAGCCATAAGAGCAAAAAGGGCTCAGAGCACTCTGAGGGCACCACACCAAGTGTCAACATCGGCCATCACATGATCTACTGTTTTTGAAGATTTAAGGGTCTGTTTTGTTATTTCCTTCCAGAAGCATACGTGCTTCAGCCAGCTCTTCACATCTGATTAAAGAGGCACTGCCTCATTTCTATTTGCAAGGAGGACTGAACCTCATTGCAGGGGTGTCACACCAAGGCTTTGCATGCAAATGCTGCAATGTTTCAAACCTTGGTAGAACCCCTGCGACCCACATTTATTTTGGGAGGACAAGCATGAAACATCAAGTTTGTATAAGGAGCCTAATTTTGTTCCTCAAAACTTGTTCCTTTTGTTCCTCTCCTCAACATCCTCCAAAGAGGGTTGATGCAGTTATATGGTGCCTCCACAACTGCAGTCTGGAGAGGAAACACAGCTCAAGGGAAGGCAGCAACGGCAGGACAAGCCAGATCAGAACCTACTTCTGTCACAGGGCTGAGCTTCATATACCCTTTTGAAATGTTGCTTCATTTCCCCATATCCTGGACACCTGGTTCTGTGACTTCTATTTGCTAGAAATTACATGGAGGACGCAGAGTATCCTTAGCATGAGCGCATCAAGAGATTATTGACTTGCTTTTACTTAATAAATCTGTCCATGCTTCACAAATAATGTCTTCCCTTCTCAGTTCATCATTTCCAAGAGGGAAGGAGTTAAATGACGGCTCACTACTCTCCTTCCTACAGTTGATGAGATGAACCTTACGAATGTCATGTTAGTATTGACAAGGTGTCCTTTAAAATAAACAAACACCAAGCAACAAGAGTTGACAGTTGAGCCTTGGGACCACATTCTTGGCTCTTTGATGGTAGGGAG